TGTGAAAGACGCAACCAGCCAATGGCAGTGGACACAGACACTCCCAAAGAGTGAAAATGAAATGCAATTGCCCGATTTTGACAGTGGATCTAGTTTAGCATACAAACAGGCAACGGATAATTAGTCTCAAGAGGGAAATCAGCCTTCACAAAGTGGTAAAAAAAAAAGCTCAGTGTTAAAGCGGCTGTCCTGAAATGATGCAGGGCGGACACATCACAGGCTTAACTGCCGGCTGGTGGAGATTTTCACACTTCTCTCATTTTACTACTACTGCATCACTTTATATTTGGTATAGATGGCATGATGTGTATTTTAAAAAGCATCAATAAATACTAAAACACATACACACACACACACACACACACACATACACATACATTGGGAGGATCCCAGCTCCAAAGAAATATTAAAGCTTGATAACTACGTGCTATCAAAAGGGCATCAGTTCAAGCAGACGCCGTTTTAAACTACCAAACAAAAGGCTGCCCAACTCGCAATGAGAAGATTCCGAAAGCAGTAAAAACTTACTCTGAAGCAACAACCATAGAAATAGAATATGAGTAAAACAGACAAGAAATGGCGATTGTCGGCATTTGTTATGGTGACAACACACATCAGTGGGGCTCTGGAGACGGATGGTTTTGTTAGTTAGCTAGGTAACTTGTCCTTCTACGAAGTGGCAGGGAGTGAGACAGAGGGACCGTTAGACCCAGTGCTGACGCTGGCCACCAACCAGCTGCTCGGCCCATTTCCTTCGCTGTGACAAGTGTGTGTGGCTGAAGAATTAAGTTGTTAAATTTAAATCATTTACTCTGGATCTGCTTCATAAGGTTTCTACTCCGGCTTGCTTTAGTCGTTACTGCAAAACAAAACTAGTCATAAGTCTCTTTAGTTTATACGTATGTCAGCCTACAATGGTAACAATACGCATCCAAATGGCCGCCACTCTGACCAACCTGCTACATTGATTTGAATGGGAATGTCCATTTTACTCTTATTCTATTTCTACGGGAACAACCCCGTCTACCACAGTTCAAAGATCATCATGATATGTTGGTTGGTAAAACCAGCTCAGGTTATGTCGCAAGGGGGAGCTCAGACTGAAGCTATCAAATGCCAGGCATTACTGAGACACAGCGCTGCATTTTGCCGATTCCCCAGTTGTGAATAACAGTATGTTCTGTCAGCAGAGCTGCAGAGACTTTCACTAAGCAATACACCTTATCTTGGTATGCTGACGCTGTCATCCAGATGTACAAAAAAATCAGGAACACACAAATATGTTTACACACGACATGCAGAGAATAAATGATAGTACAGACAGGCACTGCTTGAGTTTTCTCCTCCTCTTGCAGGCTGGCAGTGCAGGTCATTAGCGAGCCGGCTCACCTGAGCTGATGAGCTCGCAAGCCGACAAAACTGGCCAGTTCAGTTCAGTATGCTGTGCTGTCTCGCATCTCTCTCAGCTCCCACACAGTCTCCTGGTTTTGTTGCTTTGTGTCTGTGTGTTTACACTAATGATTTCATTTGACACTTCGGCATCGTACCTGATCTCAAAGACACAACACGGTCAAAAAGGTGATGCCTCTAACCCATTTACCACACGCGTCACATCAACACAGTTGAACACACTGCTGATGTAAAGAAGTGACTGTCAGCCAGAATCATGTCCCATTATCATCTTGTCCACTGCAATGGCTCACTCTGAGACCTAACTCCCATCAGAGAGCAGGAAGTGAAGTGTCCTAACGGAGAACAATAAAAAGGCCTGGGAGATTGCTTGTTTGAAAACCTTCAAAGATAGTGATAGAAAATGAGTCTCTCCTCCCTTGACAGCAAACGAGGGGCTCTAGATAGAGGCACCTAATTATTGCTGTGCAATGGTTATCAGCAGATGAACGGTTGTACAAGAGCAGTTTCCACTTACTGTATATAGACAAACATTCACAGCAAAATACAAAGCCCACACAGACACAGGGAGAACCTAAATATTAAGCACAGAAAAGCCCCATTTCACCGCAGGGCATTACAACTGGGCACAAAGCCAGAACAAAATGACTGTCACTTTTGCTTTCAGCTCTGGAGACAAATATTAAAGTAACATACGTCCCATAGGCCCAGTGTATGTAAATCTAAAGCCATGCCCTTTAACCCACGTTGTTCCCATAAACCTGAATATGTTTTCTGCCAACACGCTACTACCATACAGAAGCTAAAACGTTTGTAGCTTTACATTCTGCGCCTATAGTGCAGAGCTACCTTTGCTTTTGTTTGTTTTTTATCAGCACCATCCCCATCAATGCGGGTGTCCATTTATTTCATACATGCACATGTGTCGGCATCAACATCTGTGCGGCAGAGTGTAATGAAAACGCCTGTCAGAAAAACACCTCACATTGCATTTCCCATCAGGAGGCGTGTTACTGCAGCTGAATTACAAGAGGCAGGTGAGGAAAGCACGTATAGCTCGAAAAGCAATTATCACTTAGAAAGCTACATTTCTGCACATAATATGGAACTCAACTAACAGACATCCAGACGTAAAAGTAAATAAATAAAAAATACACATACTGCACTAGATGCTGAATACTAAACAGGAAGAAATGAACTTGTCAGGGGTCATGTTGAGGTCGAAAACAAACATACGCAGAGAACTCTGCACTGCAAGCAGAGAAACGTTACTGTGGAGATGAAGACAACACATCATAATGGGCCCAATGCTTACAGAGGAAGTCGCTTGTCAAATAGGAAGCACTCAGCCCTGGAAATATCGCTGTTACAGTAACTCGCACACGAGCCGCTCAATCTCGCTGTCGTGCACAACAATACGGAGAAATACACAAAACAGCAGGCGAAGACAAAACGTATGTGAATGGTAAGAACATGCACAACACGGAGAGAGAGAGAAAAGACTTTATCTTCATGAGTGGTGACAGTGTAGCTCCATGACAACACCTTTCACGACGACTAAAAAGGATTTCGCGAGATGGAAAACCGGAGGCAAATCTCTAGTGCACAAAAAAACATTCCATGCATTACTCTGGTGATGGTGTTAGAAAATGTGGGCTAAAACTTTGCAGCCCGGGGAAACAGCTGATTTTACAGCAAGCTGACAAGTGGTAGTCATGTCATCTCTGACCCGTTTTCACTTTATTTCTGCCCACAAAAGTTATCTCTCAAATATGTAACGCTACACTATCAGCTCTTTATCCACGATACAAGACAGGAAGAGAGGGAAAAAAAGACAATTATAGTTTATTTCACTAACCAATTTGACGTTTTTTCTACCAAATAATCCAGCCGCAGAACTATCGGGTCATGAAATTGCACACTTTAGAACCCTCCTTACCTAGGTAATATATTTGCATGAATGGTTTGTTAGAGTGGTATTTAATAATTTAATGGGACGCGCTACAGAAGTAAACCCGGTGGCCAGTCATGAGCCAGAAACATGGCATTGCCCATTGTAAATAAATAAAACATATTCCGATGATGTAATTCATTAAATCACACTTCAGGATATTGTCATACTAATAATTATATTCAGTTTTAAGTGATAAAAAACAAGTTTATTAAAAACTGCGTTTGCAAAAGTGGCCAACAGAAGTGAAGCTCGTCATGAAGTCAGAATAGGTGGTCTTTCGGGGGTCTTTCCAAAAATAAGTCACTCCCACCTAGATTTTTTATGGCTAGTTTGATGTTCAGTTCCAGATTTATCACTTTAACACTTTTTCCTGCTGCAAACTATCATTATATCAGCCTCAAAAATATACAATCACTCAACCTCCAGCCTGTACCAACCATGCAAGGACCTCTGACAACCATAGTCCAAGAGTTTCAGGACTGCTGTCACAGACTGCATACAATACTGAACTGATCTCAAGCTTCATCACCACTTGTAGTGGGCGTTTACGTCGTAAACCCGGCATTTGACTAAAAGTAGAAGACACAGCTCTTGCTCAGCTCTAGCAGCAGAGCTAGCTAGCATTTATATGGCCTAAAATCAATAGAGACATAGGAAAACCAAACACACAACAAGAGGGGCACAAATTCAAACACAAGTCTTCACCACTTCTGCAAGGTACTAAACACAGAAAGTTGCTCACAGAACACAAACATCCCTGAGCACAAGTCACTGCAAAAATGCCAAGCGCAAACATACTACTACTTGGCACGAATACATTCTAGACTAAGTGTTGGTACTGGAATCCTAATACTCGTCCTGGCAGCAGTGACTCACACGGTGGAGCAGATTAGCCACCACTCCTCGAGTGAGGGATGTGACGCCCTGCTACCTCCCTCCACTGAAGGATCAACATCCAGACTGTGTGTGTGTGTGTGTGTTTGTGTGTGTGTGCGGGGGGTTGAGAATCAAGAACGTGACTGATCTTCTTCACAGGGCACGAACTGTCTGAGCATTCACTGCACTGTTAAACAGCCTGAGGCCCAAAGCAAAACAAACATTACTTAATCATTTCTGACAAGGGCCTGAAGATGGTTGACGGCTGAATAATTATTAACCTGACAAATACATTTTGTCAACTTAAAGAAGGGTTGTCACGTGGAATGAGTGATTTCATTTGCTTTATATTTATGGACATACATACTATACAATACTTCTATTTCCTCTCAGATGGTGTTCAATGCAACTGAGCAGACAAAATAACAGGTTCACAACTGATTTGTAGATTATCTCCTGGCATCCACCGACAACTGAAATGCTTCCAATTTTTCTATCTGACATTCTTTCAAACACTTCCCCTGAGGAGAATAGTGATGCAGTAACAAGTAAACTGTCACAGTTATATCACCATCAGAGGTCTTCTCCAGAACAGGCTGCGTGATCCGCTTTATGAGAGTTGAATTACTTCCCAGCAGCATTTCCCAGCAATCAGAAAACCAAAGTGTATGCCAGAATAACAGAATAACAGAAAAACGGAGAACAACTTGCTGTTAAAAAAAAAAACGCTGTTTGGTTTGAACACAGTAAGTGTACTCACATTGATCGATGTTCCCGTCCACTTTCCCCTTCTCCTGCAAACAGAGAGCACACACAAAAGTGGTTATTACAGGCTTGGAGGAGTGAGACAAAAACAGCCCTTTCTGCAGCTTTTTCGCGCACCATTTGTTACCGTGCCTTTTCCCTTTTTCTGGGTTCAGAGAAAGACATCGGAAAACAAAAGGTGAACACTCGGGAAGAGAATGGAAAAAGAAAAGAACAGGAGAGACAGAGAAGAAGCGCGAGAGAGAATGTGTGGCGGATGACAGGAGAGAAATGAGGGGACCTTTACAAAGGCGGATCCCAGAGTCAATTCAATCAACCTAATTGGAAATACACTTCCCAGCAGGCTGCAAGATGGCAGTTGTCACTATGTTGTGCTGGGATGTTTATCAGGATGTCAAACAATTGATACGGCAAGGAGAAAGGATTTATTGTGTCAGCTGTAACTGTGAGTGTGATATTGATGTGCAGCTTCAAATTTCAATAAATGTCACTTTCATTCATGGCTTTCCAAAGACTGTGTGTGTGTGTGTGTGTGTGTGTGTGTGTGTGTGTGTGTGTGTGTGTGTGTGCCTGTGTGTGTGTGTGCATGTGCATGTGATTGGCTGACGAAATGGAGGACAATCATGTCTGGCATTCAAAGCTGACAAGATCAAATTTTCTCTAACAAAATGCACCGTTGAACTTTTATGCACCCACTAAAAATAACAAAAGGGATTGACAATAGATTTATTATCATTGATGATTTCAGCCGATGTGGACTAGACACACCACTTAAAAACCCTCTGAACCCCAAAAAAAGCGCCAGCGGGATATAAAAGCATGATTTCTTCAAACAATCGCCAAAACGACACCGTTTATCACAGCCAGAAGCTGTAAAAACGTCAATATCCTCAGATTTTTATCTTTCTGACGGTCCTTGAACATATCATGTGTGACAAACGCTTCCATCAGAAAACGCAGCTTGTGATGCTGATGCAGAATTGTTATGAACACCCTACAAACAAACGCTAATCAGCTATGCACCGACAAATTAGCTCTTTAGTTCTTTAGCTGACCAACCGACCCCTCACCTCTTCACCCGGAAGCCGTTTTAACATTGATTGTTACACTGGATATTCATTCCTGAAAGCTCTAATTCAAGCTATCTGTATATCATATATTTTGACTTTTAAGATTCAAGCTAATAAATAAGATTACAGATATATCCAATTCAGTTCCAGATATCTGCAATGTAAATTTGGGATATCTGCAACTGACTAGTTGCAATTACCGTTTCAGATAGCTACAATTGAATTATGACTAGTCATAATTCCAGTTCAAGAGTCGCTTTCTATTCAAACACATGGCACTGCAATCGTTCCTCATCGATCCTCAAGTGTGTCTGGAGACATAAATATACAATATGCTGAAAAGTTTTGAACGACGCTCTCATTCGCCACAAATTCCTTGATGATTGTTTTTTTTCATGGTATTTTCTAAGCTTCTGATCCACAACAGCAAATGCTTTTACAAACACTGTTTGAATGCTTTGCAGGGCCAATATCCAATGGCGAGCTTCACATGAGCAACGTCATGCACAGCAATATGGACTAGTTGTGCTGTTTAATGTATCTGCAGCTATTATTCGGAGAAGTGAAAACTGAATTACGGATACCTGCAACTGTCATTTTCGATGTGTGACGAGTCGAGGGTCTGTGCGCAACTTCAAAATGAAGAAGTGCGACAGGATTTCTGCCGGTAGAGTCACCTCCGGGATCGATCCGCTGATCAACGTCCTCAATACAAGCGCAGAAGTGTTTTCTATAGGCATATAAAATGTATATTTCCCAGTATATGTTTTTTAAACCCGGTCAAATCCAAGTCAAAGTGAATGGAGGTAAGAAAAGAGGTGAGAAGATTTCTAGCATTATGAATTAGTAATAATGTTAATGGAAAAAGTTTGGTTGCTGATAGCCTGGACACAACAGTTGTGTGCTGAAATTCACTGGACATCAAGTTATATTTGTGTTCTTGCCTTTAGTAGTAGTCCAGCTGACCTGTGTAGGTATGTGTATGTTTGTGTGCACAGATTGAAAATACTTTGTTGAGCATCGTGTGCTCTTCAGCTACTGCTCACTTGTGCTCGTTGCAGCACTGTGGATGCTGCTCTCCATAAATGCATCTGAACTTAAAACGCAATTTAACGTAAACTGGCAAAACCAAAGATCGACGTGCCTTTTTAAAAATAGAACAGAGGCAGGTCTTCCAATGCAACACCGTTTCTGAAGCAGCCAACGTGTGGCAGCAATTGAAGTGTTGTGACATTTTGCATTCTTGTCCCTCAGTGTGGATGTCACCGGTAATGAGGCTCAGTGATAAAAGATGTGTGAGTCTGTGAGGCCCCTTTCGGCTTCCCAGGAGACCGAGAGCCTCACGAAAAACACAGCAGTTTTTAGTGCCTCCTGTCATTGCCTCCTTCTTTCTCTTTACATCTCTATCCTTCTCTCTTTCTGCCATCTGTCTATCTTAATTGCGGACGTGCTTCCTCATGATGGCAGGATAAAATTGAGTGTGCTCATCAGCACCGCCTTCCATCATCTGGAGTGCCGCTGTTTGATCAATTGATTAGGGAATCAAACCAAGCGTAGAGGTGAAAGAGAGGCTATGGGCTTCTTTCTAAAAATACTGTTCTCTCTTCTCCACATCTCTGCGGGGTTCTTTTTGTCACATTCCTTTATAAATTCAGCTTGGAGTAAAATAATAGTTTTGCAATAATCAACAGCAACTACTGCTATGTAACTGGATAAGGCAAAGTAGTTTCCTTTACACATGCACACACATACAGAGTTGATCAGTAGGTAGTTCATTTTTTCTTGCAATGCAGCGCTTACATTTACACTTTGATTGGTTGGAGAAATGTAAATAACCACAACCAGAATTTAATTTCAGCAGATAGACCCCTTTTCTGTTAGTACAAATAATGATATTTTTGTGGGCGGATTGTAACTAGAGACAGAATAATTCTCTGAACACCAATTTGCTAACAAAGCAATTGTAGCATTGTAGCCAGCCGTCCGCTAGTTAGCTTGCTAATTCCACCATGCTTTCATGCTACACTGGTTATAGATGCCCTACAGCGGGCCTTCTCTTCATCTCTCTGACAGTTTAGCCTATTAGCAAAATGTCTCTCTATCTCTCTATTAATGTAGCCTTCTGTGGTGCAGCAGCCGTGACAATGGAGCAGGTTAGCAGAAGGCTAGCAAAAGGCTAAGCTAAACTATTAGCAACATTCTATCGCCATCTCTGAAATGCTACCATGATATTGTAGCTCGCCTAGAATCCCAGTTTGTCCTTTGAAATGTATGCAATATCAATTCTGACACCCTGAAACACAACAACATGACAATTTTCATTGTGTAACTTTAGCCCACTTCTGAGGTGATTTGTGTTTGCCTCCATTTTTTCCTTCGTTTTGACTCAAACTAACAAGTGACATAATCATGACGTTGGCTGTAAAAAAGTCTATAGGGCAAACCCACTGGGTTACAATTAGGAGGGATCTGATGCTTTTCTCTACAATATTTCCTTTTTGTGATAGAGCCTGCCCAGAGCAGTAAGAGTTATGTGATAAGACTATGGAAACAGGTGGGATGCTGAGAGATGCACAATAGGGAAGACAAGATGATTCAACACCTTCTCAGCTCATGAGCCCGAGGCTGTTTTTATTTGACTTATGCTCATTTATTCACACTCTTATGGCGTAAGCACTAATGTCTCAGGCATGTCATATATTATTATTTTCAGGACAGGTTAGGCGTTCAAAGCCAATAGATTGTATGTCGTAAAAAAGCAAAGCATTTCAACACAATTTGCTTCTAGAGGGTCCGTAGTGATTTAACAACCTCAACCAACAAGCAGCAAGTCATATGCACTGAAGGAAAGATGTGCCAGCCATGTTCGTTACATCTAATGTATGTTTATCACACGAGAGGCAATGGAAGGCAGAGTTTAATTGGCCATGGTCTTTAACATCAGGAATACAGGTTGTGCTAAAATCGTGATTTAGTTTTTTATTATACGTTGCATATGACTTTACATATTAACAGCTACATGCCAGCCAATCAGAAACTTGTATTTTCCTTGGCTGTGGCATAACTTGGCAAGAGTTGACTAATCTAGATTCATAGCTCTCCTGTGGCTTCACATACTAAAGACGCAGTCATGGTACTCTGAGCTGAACTAGAACAGAGTTTAAGTGTACAAACTCAAAAATATTGTTATAGCCTCTTGGAAAACCAGCACAAACTAATCTCTGAGTGTTACATGCTTCTATCTTGGATGCCATTTAAACACCCACACAAAAACGAGAATCCGACATTGCGGCTACAGAGGCTGACATTTTGTGGGAATGCAATTTGAACAGCAGAGCAAATCAAGCAAACATGTCTTTGTTACAAAGTGTGCTTGAATAGGGCTTTTCCCCCCCGCGCTCTTAAATACGCTGCTATGCCGGCCCTCTTCATTCAAGGAGCCATATGTTTATGTGCCCACTTATTCCCACTCCATCTCTCTAAACAACACAACTCTCCGCCCGGGTTAGCTGCCTGTATGCCTACAGTGTTGCAGTATCAATACTTTTGCTAAGCGGCAGCTGCAGTGTTTTGTCGGAGCACATTGATACGTTGACCTTTATAAGACACTGCCTGATTAGGATGAAGAGGCATCGAGAGGAGTATCATCAGGAAAGGAAAGCTAAATCTATCAGGTTCTGTGTTTTCACAAGAGTTCACCTTTCTACATTCAATATTTATTCCCTGATGTCTGCTGCTTGGACATAAGGGACCTGTCTTATCTCACAGAAACTCACCAGTGCATTCACACACTACTTAATTAAGGAGCTAAATGAAAATGAGCTAAAAGAAACAAAAACATTTGCAACGTACAGTAATTAGTAATACCTTCACAGGCATAACTTTGATGAATCCTAAAATAGAACTACAACCTAACAAATTCATTTTCCCCCTGCATCATTAGCTGGAGGGATTTCATGTTTCCTGTGACGCTTGTTGGCACGGTCTGTCTTCTAAACATCTTCATTTATTCACAATTTTCCAAAGCTTCCAGAGAATATGTGATAAAGAACAGTTTTGCTATGTTTCATACATTTGATATGCCGGCGGACACAGCACCTGTGAATGAATGTGCTAATCACCTCCCGTCAGAAGGCATCACGAGGGTGAGTGAAAACTATTTGCTACCGTCATGCAACCCCGATCACCTTCACAAATAACCTCCAAGACTATAACTAATTCTAAAACATGTCATGGAGATGGTTATCTCATGGTTATCTGATAGTTATCATCATGTGACCAAACGTCGGAGACAGTACAGGATCTCTGAACATTGTTTTCTACAGTATCTTGTTTTTGTGCGGATTTTGAATGCACCCAAGAATATTGGGCAAATCCAGAGTTGTCGACTTCTCGTGACCCTCAGAGTAGAAGACGAGATCAGACTCAAAGAAGACGGACACATTTTCAGTTGAGAACCATACCGACTCTTAAGAGCGAAAAATAATGCTAATGTCTAGACTTGGATGCAAGGAACAAATCTGCTTTTATTCATCAGGCTTGTTCTTTCCAAGTCCAGACAGCATGAGCATCACAGAAGGGACATCGAGGGGTTTTTGTGTTCTTAATGTTTGGTATGGCATATCACTTTTATCCATCTACGTCCCAATCATCTTCACTTTTCCCTCACTGCCATGGCACAATTCCACCCTCTTCTTCATCTTCTTCAAGAAAAAACCCATTAATGTCTCTCATTTCATATTGTCTACCCTGTCTACTCTTTGTCTCTTTAAGATCAAATGAAATACATTTTCTTTTTATTATTGTGTACTTTGATATAAAAATGATGTTAGCTCCACTCCCTGGAAACAACATCTTTTTAGTTGTTGCTTTATGGCATACCAGTTTATTTTTTTACGCTCAAAGAAGGCTTCCTGTGTCCACCTTCACTGCAGGCTTACTTAGACACCTTTGTCCCCAATGACTGATGCTCCTTACTGCGTGCAACATAGTAGGTTCCTCCGTAAAAGACAGCAGATGCCGAAACGTACCAGAGGGTTGTGCCGAGCATAGAAAGTATCACCTACCACTATAATCATCGTAGAAAGAAGTATTATTGCTTCATATAACGGTAACCATTGCACGTGTGCTGTATGCCTGAAAGCTTTTCTTGAGCTTTGTGTACAAACTCTCAGGAGACAGCCTGAGAAATTGGGGAATAACCTTCTGGGACAGCAATGAAACCAAACTAAAGCTTTATGGGTATACAAGTCATAATCAAAATGTAAATGTATTTTGGGGGGGGGGGGGGTAGCCCTACCACTAAAACTTAAACCCAAGAGCAGAGAAGAACCTGCCCTTGTGGAGAGAATGCTATTTTCTTTCTTTTCGTTTTCACTGTTCCTGCATTTATTCTCGATTCATTCGGTGCATAACCCCATTACTGAAAACCCTTTCATCCAACCAGCACAATTCCCTCTTTCTCTGTGTTGCTGCCAAACCACTCCACTCGTTCCCCTCTTCATAGAGACCACTTCCAAACCCAACTACGATCTCACTGTCAAAATGTAGTCTATAAAAACCCTGCACGCTCATCGGAATCCTGTGACAATTCTCACCACCAACACAAGAATCCAGGGCCAAGCATCGAATAGAATGATGCAAACGCACAGATACGGCATTGATTTGTTGATCTGTTTAAATTAAAACTTAAACGTAAATCACTACTTTTAGTCCGAAAAAGCTACTGTTGTTAAGGAAATTGGGTTATGTTTCTATCATTATCTTGCCCATCGCCCACAATTATCGTATAATTGTTCAACATTATGGCCATGTGCAGAACAACATTTGTGTAGTGTGACGTGCGTTTAGCACAATGGCATCTTTCCATTTGCAACAGGTAACAGACCGTTTTCACAGCAAGCACATAATATCATTAATGATGGAGTTTACAGCTAATAAGCATGCTTATCATTGGTATGGCTTAAATGTCTGCTGTGAAAAAGGTCTACATGGACTCTACACTAAGATCATTTTGCTTGCATAAGCTGGTGAAAAGAGTGTGAATGTGAAAATGACTTTGGGAGCACCGGTGTGACTCTGGGTTCTGATACCTGGTTAAAATGAACAACATCGCCGAAAGCAGCTGTCGCTAATCAACTTTAATTCCATGAGTAGCTTAATGACGTACTAAAATTAGACTTAGCTGTTGATTAGGTTTGTGTGTGTTAGGTCACGGGTATAGGCCCATTGTTATTTATATCTTCCCCTTCTACGAACATTTACTATGTATACTGAGCATCTTTATATTTTGCAATTAATTGAGTGCTACATTACTTCATGTTCAGGTTATAGCTGCAGGTTGTCAGCATTCATTTGGCTGCCACTCACAACTGCTCCTCTCAGCCAACAGATTCCAGCTGAATGTCTAAACTGATATTTACTTTAGTTTCTTGTAAAGACCGATCGATGGATCGGGTTCAGATTGGACAGCCAGATTCAATAATGCAATCGGATTCAATATGCATTCGATATTTAACAATGCTTTGGTAATCTCCCTACATCTTGTGTACTTTGTGTGTTTGAAAGACAAGATGAATTAGATAGTAAATTATTAAACCTCTAAATTAGTCTGTGCCCTCATTGCACCAAAGCTGCCATCAACCCAGTGTGGATTTGTCAGAACTTGGTTGCTCTGCAAGAATCAAAGTAGGCCCCCAGGAAGTTGACAAGAGGTCAAAATGAAAAGGCTTTCATCTGGATTGGTTTGCTTCATTTATCACTTTTGTTTTTTCAGTCTGTTACACCCGTGAGATATATAATTGTTTACATGTTTTGTATTGTTTTGGGGGGGAGATTTAGAGAAAATAAATAAATCTGGCACAACCTCTTTACTCCCGAAGGCTTTGAGAATCCTTCCTGCATAATCGTGTGAATTCATGCATTCGCATGATTCACCCGAGGGTCAACTTTAAAATTCTGGCGCCAATTGACATATTTCTCCCCCCAGATAGACAGGGGCGAATGCCTGGGAATTTGTTTAATTTTTTTTTTGCATCAAGGGATTTCAGGGGACACAACCGCCAGGGCAAAATCACATTCCACAGCCTGCTGCCAACTTGGCAAAGCTCGAGGTGAGTCAGACTTAGAACGGACCAGGGGGCGTACATGCCTCATTGCACAAAGAATTAGGACGACTGCGGAGCTGTGTGGTATGTGTCTGTCTTTGCGTATGTCTTTTTCACAACCTGTTAGGACTCTAAGTTTCTGTTATGCAGAGAGCGTTTGTTAAAAGGCTTCACTCTTGCTGGCAAGGACCCGTTTGCTCGGAGGGCAAGTCGTTTCTCCTCTCTTTAGCCCGTGAATCTCTGGTGTGCCCTCGTGATAAATGCAACCAGACGAGCTTATTCAGAAACCTGCCCAAGAGCGCTCAAGCAATTATCTCAGAACCGTTGCAAATAGATCGAACAAAAGCACTGTTTCAAAATGACGCAGGAAAGAGAAGATGTAAAAGTTACCTGCGTGGTGTTGTTAATTGTGATCTTTAACAAAAGATATGAGCAGGAGAGTTGAAGTGAGAGTTATAGCCTACATAATAATGGTATTGTTTCATTAATTACAATCAGTTTTGAGTGATATTAAAAAGCATTGGCTGCAATGAAGGTATTCATTTATATTCTATGTTTATGTACTTTATATATTATACGCTGGAATTCTGCTTCTGAAGTCCTGTTTAAGCTTTGACGAAGTTGTTGGTGCGTTAAAAGGGTTTACATTGATTTGATTTTTTTTTTTACCAAGTTGCTGATTCACGATTTAAATTTTTGATAATAAATAACAATTTACTACATTTATATCTATGTATTTATATGTTACATTTTGTTTTCCCATGACACAGATAGCAGCATGGACATATCAGGACCGGAGTGCATTGTGTCACAGAAGTTAAGCTCTGATAAATTTGACAACAAATGTGTTTTGTCCGACTGTTTTTATTCACTTCATTTTTCTTGCAGCCCTGATTTGATTTACGGTTGATACGAGTGATTTATATCACCGTAAGTGTTTGTCTCGCTTGACGGAGAGTAAAGGCGATGTCCTCGGTGGGGAGTAGTTTGGTGTGTTAGAGAGAGAGAGAGAGAGAGTGCAGCACGTAATATTTACCGTGGAGCGTGGTTCCTGGTAGGAGGTACGTGGCATTGTGGCTGTATCAGCGCTGCCTCGCCTGCTGCTCTTGTGCCCTTCAGCCAGCCAGCACCCTGAGGTTCCCAGCAGAGCGGCCACGGCCCAAACACCCAGGCTGCCCATGAGTGTCTACCTGAGTGGAAAAAGTAAAAAACACAAAGCACACAAAGTCCTTAGACTGACATTGTTGTATCCACTTCAGTTTTCAAAAATAAAACAAGTTACACAGCTCTCATAGTCATAAGGGCAGCGGATCCTATACTGTATCTGAGCAGTATAAAATGGATGAACACAATTAAATGGACTTGTGTTGTTGTATGTAACTGTAACTGTAAATCGTCATGCCGTATTTGTGATTTCAATCTCTCATAATCCAATTTGTAATCAAATGCATTTTTGTGATCAATTGTGGGTCTCATAGTTCAGTCATTCACAAGCTAGCATAATGAGCATCACTGTGTTGTCTACAAAGAAGACAAAGACAGATGAGCGGAAATCCCGTTCAAATAAACACAGTGTGTGTTTAGGAGTGTTTGTCATTGCAACCATTGAATTGAACAGAATTTGCTGCAAACAAAAGCTCAATTAAGGAGAGCGGAGCAAATTTCAGAGAGTTCAGACAGCTTAAATTGTTTGCTATTTCTAGGCATGATATGACATGGGAAGGCCTAAAGAAGACAACTATGGAGAGGCTAAGATATGATACGAATAACTTAATAACTGCGTAATTAACATCTCTCACCAATATTGTGTCATTTTCCAATCCTTCTACTAAAACCCTGTGTCGTGCATATGAGACATGTGTAACCAATGCCTGAAATGATGCTGTTCATGCAGGCACACAGTTACACACAATGGGACAAATATTGTGCACTGACAAAAAACCGATGGTGCAATCGCACACGAACACATAGCATAATACAGCAGTGTGAACATCAAAGGCGCCACTGATGGGGATAATTATCTGTATTACAAAAGGACACAGAAAGTCTTTTGATGTCAACAAAGAGACACCCCTCTGAAGTCGTGAATGGTGGAGTGTGTATGAACACGATTTCGCTGCTGTGACACACTCGCATACACACACACAAACCTCTAGGACAAAAAGTATACAAGACGTCCCATCTGTGCTGTTGTGTAGCTGCATCGAAACATATTTTTTTCCAGACTAGCTCCATTTGTAAATTATATAAAAATGGTAAGCATGTATTTAATAACTATATGTTAACATGTGTTTTAAATGGTACTGCTTTGGGCAAGCTCAAAAGTAAAAAAAAAATGGAAAAAGATCTTTAAATCATGTTCATGGAGGGAAATACTGTAATAAAATAGGATAACCCTACATTGAAATGCACATCAATACAAAAAGAACACAAATTACAGTGACATTAAATAGCAAAGTGTAGAATAAGTAGAACTCTCTGATACAGTGGCAGAAAAAAAAATTCTTCTTGTATTGTAATTGGTTTGCATTGCACAGGTGTTTCTGTTATTGTGTCCACCCCTAGTGTCTTAACGTCCTCCAGATAAACTTGCCGTGTTGCACTGATGACAAATATTTATTGGACCCCGTCAAAGCACTGACTTCTTGTGTGGTCTTATCAGCTGAGGCAGGCTTTTATTATTACACCCTGTGACACGGCAGTTCGCTGCGTGCGTTATTATACTTGTAGGTAATGTGTTTATTGTTTTTGCTGTGGCATCGTACTTTACCGCGGGGCTTTATTGTGTGTTTTACTACAGAAACAGTCTGGAAACAAATTTCCCTTCGGGGGCCATAAAGTTAGCAGTTGAACTGAAACAAGGGCAGAAAAACGCCACGATGCATCTCACACAGTGTAGGTGTTTATGCCGTTAAATGTCTGCACTCACCAGGATGTTGAATATTAAAAAGGTGCGGTAACTCACCTTGACCTGTAAATGCCCTCGTCTATGCTCTGCTCTACAGATCTACTTTAGCTTTTTCCATCAAATAAATAAATAATCTCATCTTTTGAAACATTTTATCAAAATTAATCTTTCATTCATTTTTCATTAATAATTGTCAATGACAAAATAATCTTGTTCTTCTCTATTGACCTTTTAACTCATATAATGTAGCAAAATCTGAAGTACTAAAGTGCCCCAGAAACTTCGTACATGTACTCTCGACCAATGCTAACAATACAGTACACACGTAATCAGGTCCTGTCAGTGTAAACATCACTCGACGAGGCTCCACCAACATCACTCAGCTAGCTCGCCCGAGGCTAACGGGACCTCACAGATGAGAGCTCACCCTTGTGAAATTAAACACCAAATGAGATCTGCCAGTCACTGTCTTAATGTGCTGCCTGGCCCCCTGGCATTGGCTCACACACACACACATTCATACATGAGTACACATGAACACACACACACACATACAGAGAAAGAGAGTCCTGGTGGTGTGGAATGAACGGTCCATTTTGAATTTCATCAGGAGGGAGAAAGTCTATGAGGAAGCCAATTATTTGAGCAGCATATTAAAAAGCTTAAAGAGACAGACTCTTTAAAAGCAACGCACCCTTTGGCCTTTCGGATCACACTTGTTCAGTGAGGGACATGAGTTTTAAACAGACTCAGCGTGCCGAGAGTTGAATACAATCTCTTCACATCCAAGCGATTTTAACTCGCCATCTCTCAGTTTGTATGTTTGTTTTTTTGTCTTCAGAACTTTCATGGGCCCGAGGAGTCCTGCAGCCAACCTCTCCCCTTGTTCAGTCGCTCACATTCGGTAGTTTTGTTCTCATTTTCTTCTTCGCATGCGTTGCAGATAAATTGGTTTGCAGGCTTTTAAAATCATTAAACACGAGGGAACGGTTCTCATCACGTTCAGCACTGCGATGCATTAATGTATGGATTAAGGAAGCTTGTTTTGCTGTCTTGCACTGGAGTTGCAGAACTTAAGAATGATATAACAGCAACCATGAACTGTCTCAAAGATTTGGATTTCCATTGGTTGTTTGGATTTCTGAAGCTGTCTGTCTTTTGCTACTATAACGCTGAAGGAGAGTCAGCTGAATGCCTATAATGTGCAGCGCTCAGGTACAGTGAAGCTCCATCTGCTAGCCATCTCATTTTAAGATAAGGCAGTCGGAAGAAAGTGACATCTCACGTCGCTTTGAGACACATCAGCTACTTTCAGCCGGGAGCTGCTTTTTTCTTTCTAGGTCGAAGCTAAAATATTAATTTTCAGTTGCGGCTTGAATGAATAAATGAATGCATCGATGGACACATGAAAACAATACATAGGAGAAGATGGGACAAAGACTGGTCGTATGAAATCAATATGGGATTGTTAAAGTTGTCACATGTCTAAGAACATTTTAAGATGATGTTTGAAATAGGATTATCCTTTCAATATTGCGCAATAAATGGTTGTTTTTTAGTGAGTTTCAAAGTGGCTAAAATACAGTTTTTCACAATCGGGACGCATAGTTTCCTTTAGATTAAATATGTTACAAATAAAGATACTGTATTTTTGCAAATGTTTCCCAACAGTAGAAAAAATAAAACATATTGTTTATCCCAGTATTCTTTTAAGAATAGGAATCATTTCCAACCAAACAACAGTAATCCCCGGGACATCTTCACCCCGCCGACCTTTGCCACAGTCAAACCTTCTGTGTCCAACAAACACCTCGACTGCCTCTAATAGGTCGCCAGATGACGTCTATTAAATGGAGTACAAGCACATGAGTTGGTGAACTTGAATCTGCTGTTCCTTTCACGAAAACATGATTACATCCACACATGGAAAGCAGTCATCGAGAAACCAACTAAATAAGAACAAATTCTGACCTGGGGGGGGGTAGTCTGTCTTTTGGTAGAAAATGAGAATGGCATGATTATGTGACTATTTCTGAGTCTTCTGAACTAACAAAACAAAACCCCCTGTCTTCCTCAGCGTGAGAACTACAAAACATCTGGCTCCGCTGTGAAGACAACACGCATCTGTCAGGCTGCGGCTAATGGTGATAGGTGTCGGCAATACCATGTATGGATCCTGGAGAGCACAATGTTCCCGGCAGTGATGTTGACTAATATTTCTTCTTCATTTTGTGGTATTTTCAAGCATTTTTTTCAACATTTCCAGTGTTTTTCTAGAGTGTAGATCAAATCATCTATTGATTGAACCGATTATAATCTGTGGGTATGATTCCCCTCAGCCAGCCATCGCAAGAATGTAGGTGACTTGGCCTTAAAATGTCATTAGCTTTTGATCAAATCTGTTATGTCCTAAATCCTCACCGCCACTATGGTTATGAAAGGGAGGTAAGCAGCATAGGAGCCGAACGGGGAAGGAGCAGGAAAGCTCTGACTGGAGGCTAGCAGGCAGGCCGGAGGCTAGCAGGCCGGAGGCTAGCAGGCAGGCCGGAAGCTAGCAGGCCGGAAGCTAGCAGGCCGGAGGCTAGCAGGCCGGAGCTAGCAGGCCCTAGCCCACTGGAGGTTAGAAGGCTATGAAGCTAATGGGAGGCCAGAATGCTGCAGGCTCCAGAACCCTCAAGCTAAAGAAGCACTAAACTTGAATGAATAACATGAAACAAGGAAAAACATAACCAACAAGACCGAAAAACCACAACACAAAATCCCCTAGATAACCGCTCTTTAAAAAATGCAACACAGGTCGCCAGCCTTCGCAGAAAGTCAGAGGGCATAGAGCCAGAGTGACACAATTACTTTTAAAGTTTTGACTCTTCCAGTTACTATTTACATTGCTTTGCAGGATAAAATGTTCATCAACAAACACGTTCAAACATCTATAAAATACAGTATGCATACTATTGTCTTCTCAATGTATTTCATAGTTTTAATGTGTGAACTTTTGCAAAACCATTTTAATCCTTTTATGTCTGAGCTTTGAACACAGTGCAGGGAGGAAAAGGACAAGCAGCATCCCAGGCCAAGATATCACCCTTAATATATGTTTGAGTAAATGCATAAATACTGATAAATGATTAATCTGAAGCTCTCTCACAGCCCAACAGCTAACTAGCTAGCCAGTCCTACCACATCATTTCCTTTATCCGACCGACCACAATCCTTCCTGAACATTAACCAAATGAAGCTCTAGAAGTTCAGTCAGGAAGACTATACTCTTGTATGCTTAGA